ACAGATGTGAAGACCATTTACTCTATGCCCCAGTCAGCACAGAGCATGCTTGTGTGTCTCCTACAGTGTGTGATCACCTGACCTCACCTTTTAATCTGATTGGGAGAATACAGTTAACGGAGTTCCAATAAAAAGAATGGAACTGATGTGTCGTGCAGAGTTTATAGTTTATAGTGTAGGTAATTTTTAACTCTTGTCCTGAGTTGGACTTTCATAAAAATAACGATAAACAGATCAATGATCAGTGATAAGAAGCTACAGTTTAGCCGTGAAATGTACTGTAAATCGCAGAATGCAATGTCCGCCCAGTAGGATTACTGAGTAAATATTAAAAAAAATCCCAAAACAAAATGAAAATAAAAAATATTAATAAAGGAAACACTAGAGTGCTATATCAACAGCTTATTCTTCAAATTCCTCGTAGCCACACATGCTAATAGCTACATTACAATTACAAATGTTTCCAAATTGTTCTCATATATTTTCTATGTATTTCATTGCTTACATGCATGATATTTGTTCAGCAATTGAGCAGCAAAGAAAGTTTAAAAAAAAAAACAGGTCAATGTGAGAATGTCGAGTCGACGTGCGTGTGGGGTGACTAAGTCCAAAGTTCAGTGTGTGATATTCAGCTGCCCTCCCCCACCTCCACCCCTTCATGACTCACTTCCAAAACAAAGCTCGTCCCTTCTGGCGCCGCCGGGGAAGAGGGGGAGTTACGGGAAAAGGCGTATATAACATAAAAGGGAGAAAGGCAAAAAAAAAGTGAGAAAAGACAGCATGAAAAGCCTAACCACAACTGTCACTCAGATCCCACAGCTTTCATTAAATTTTATTATGACATGTCATTTTTTTTATTGAAATCAAGAGGGAATTGGATGCGGTTTAGTTCCAGGAGAGATTGCTATGTTAAAGCTGTGGTAGGCAACTCCCCTTCTGCACACTGAAGATGTGGACTCCTCACAATAAAACACTGAGATGAGTGACACCTGAAGTCTTCAAACTGAAAAGTTCTAATCGTTAACTTTTATTTATTTCTGAGGTAACATTTCTAATCATCTAATTTTAGACGAAGCATTAGCAAATGCTAGGCTAATATTTAATGCATCAATTTTTATTTGAATAAATAAGGGTAAATGTTTTGGTATTGTTCCTATTACTGAAGGGAATTTGAAAGTAGTTCCTGGCATTATTCTATATATACTTGTGCTATCTATTATTTACAGTTTTGCTAACATTCAACTGTATCATCTAACATATAAGGTATATTGTTGATAGGTTTGCTGTATATTCTTTCCTTTTTTTGACAAATACTAACTTTACCTCTTTTGTTCTTCTGTGCTGGCTGTCTGTTGATGTTCTACAGGTACTTTACAAATGTAGTAACTATGGCAAAAAATATTTGTAAAGTCCATCCCAAAACTATAACCTTTATTTTATTTACTTTACCTGCATAAAGAAGGCACGATTACTTGTCCTCACTCCCCTGCTCCTGCATCTGTTCATTCTACACAGAAACTCCTATTAGCACTAATTACATCACAAGACAGGAAGCTTAGAACCAACGCGTCACATCTCAGTCCTTGGACCACTGTCGCCCCCACCCCCCTCCACACACACACACACACACAGTTAATGCTCAGTTGTGTTAAAACCAGGAAGAGAAAAACAGCCAAGAGAAGATTAAATTATCTGTGTGAAAAGTTCAAAAGCAATAGAAAAAAAAAAATTGAAATGAACACACAAGGCTGTGTGAAACACAAAGGCCTTATTGTTGCTGGACAGAGGCATGCCTGTGTGTGTGTGTAAGTGTGTGTGTGTGTGTGTGAGCAGAGGCTGATGGAATTTCAGCAGTTTTTGCACAGAAGACAGGAGAGAATGAGGACATGATGTTTTCACTTACAGTTAACAATGTTTTCTATGATTATATTTTCACATTATTCTAATGAACAGCAGGGGGGGCTGATTCTGTATATCATACAATATTTTTTTTCGCTGCAGATGAAGAAATCCAACTTAAAGTATCCAGATTTCCTTTCAATGAATTGCAGTTTTTTTGTTACCCAGGTGGTATATACATTCCCGTCATACTTAAGTACCAGGACATTTATGCAAATCAGGTCATCGACAACAACTCTTTTTGTGATGTGTGTGCAGCTTATCTCAGGCAAAGAACAGTTGCCTACTGAATGCTTAAATACTTTAAAAAAAAGGTAAAAATAAACTGAAACTCACCCAAAGTTCATAATGTGCCATTGTGGTTCCCACATCTGGGGAAAAAAAGAGAAATGAATTAAGATGGGATCCTAGATTGGAATCTACCTTTAGATCACAAAGGGAATGCTGGTAGATCATGAGCAAAAGAAAAAGTATATACATATATATACATACATACATATACATTGTGGGGTTTGTAAGAAAAGCACCGGTGAGACTGTTGATTTTAGGGGCACTGCTCGACTCATGTATGCTCATAGGATAAACACACACACACACACCTAGAGCCTCATTTCCTGTAATCTCTCTTAACCTGACATTTGACCTCTGAGAGGGTGTTGACACATTTAAGACCCCTGGGCTTCCGCTGCATCGTTGTGATCTGCTCGGTGAAAGGGTTTTAGTCAAACACAGTCATGTCAGAGACAGAGGTGTTTACAAAACTTTGAGGGGAGTTTTCCTCAAAAAATAACAACCTGTTTATGATCGCATGTTTCATCTCACATGAATGTTTGACATTCAAGTAGTCAATACAAGGAATACGGCACTGGTACAAAGTCCAGAAAAAAGGTCCAAATCACAAAACAACGAGAGAAACTCTTAATGTTGTCGTCCTAGCTACTGAAGGACAAAGACACTGTAACACTACTGTAACATGAGGCTCAAAAGACAAAGAATATGTACAAGTAGGGGCGTGGACATAACAAGACACAGGTGGGACACATTAGACACAAAGAGCAAGAAATCACTGGAGCCATAAACACAACAAGGCAGAAAAATGGTTCACCTGAAAAAAGGGAATGATGGGAAATAAGATTAAACAAAACTTAAATAATTATTAAACAAACACATTTCAAATAACATTGGTTTAATCTTTTCATGAATCTAATTTCTCACCTTGGGTAAAAATAAATAACTCTTTATTTACACCTTAGCTGCGCTCCCTCCCTTATTTGTCACGGCCTTGACTCAGGCTATGACACACAAGTATTTTGTAATGTTTGCATTTAAAGATACACAGGTTGGAGCAGATCGCTGTGGTAATTTCCAGGATAATGGATAGTGTCACACTCTTTGATTCTGAATCTCTCTGCTCTGTTGACTGCAAATGAATAATTTCATCATTGCGCTGCTTCATTTAAAAAATTGTGATGAACAAAAGGCAGAGTGTTGTTGTTCACCTCACTCTGTTCCAGTGAGGACCATTTTATTCCTTGTAAATGCAGATAGCAGAATAGATGGAGAAAGATAAGGGCATAATGTTGAAACGCTGGTGACTCCACGGAATGAGACACTCTTTGGATAAAAGAGGAGTGATTTAAGATTCTGCCTGGTGCAACACGTCCTGGAAATTCCCATTAATGTTCTGAATAACACACACACACACATCAGTGGTCTTTTACTGATTCTTTTGATCAAAAGAACATTCTTCAAGGGTAGCAGCAGAATATAGCATATCATATATGCTACATGCTACATGCTATATTCATATATAGCATGTAGCATATATATATATGTAATCAATTAAAATTAAATTCATAATTTGTCAATGTGTCAGTGTTAACTATGTGAGCAGGACTAACACACTCAGAGTATTCAGCTGCTACAGCAGCAAAGCATTCACAGCAGAGCTAACTCAGCTAACGTTAGCCCAGCTTAGCATGCTGGCTGTGTGCTGTTTAGATTCAGATTTGGTGTGTCCTCAGTTTCCTCAGGCTTAGTCAGGCTGGTAAACAAAATAAAAACTTTTTTAAAAAAAGAAAGAAAAAAAAGAAACCCTCTAAATTTAGTCAGTGTTTGTATTTGGTTCAAAAGAGTTCCAAGGCCCACATGTAGAGAAGTGTTCTCTGTCCAACAGACCTGTGTTTACGTGTGCTGAGTAAAAGAAAAAGAAAAAAGAAAAAACAGTGAAAGATGATGTATGAATGTGTGTTAGTAATGGAATGTGTGAGTGTGTGTTCTTGTAAGTGTCATGCCATCACCTGTGTGTTTTTCCCTGCAGCACAGCCACTCACAGGCCTCAGCTTGTCCACTGGCTTGAATGAATGTCAACAACACTCGCAACAAAACCTGAGGACACTAGGTTCTCTGTGTTGTTGGATGTTGTTGGAGAAGGGCTTTTGAGAAGTTATATTGGATTTTTCTTTTTTATTAGATAAAAAAACACAAAGCAAATGAACTAATGAGTTATTGAACCAAATAAACACAGTGTACTGTATGTATGGAACATACATTGTAATGTTCACTGACCAGCAGGTCAACAGCATTGATGATATTATAATGATTTCAGCTTACAATGCAGATGATGTCTTATAATAAGAAAAAGTCTACAGTTCCAGAGGTACCAAGTGTGTGGAATTATAGCACAGAATTATTTTTTTTTCTTCAATTGTGTTGTTTCTCAAAAACAACAATATTTCTCTTGTTTTAATATGAACACAAAATGAGATCTGGTCTAAATTTAATCTTCCAAAAACTGAACCATCCTAACCCTTTCCTAGTCTTCCACAGGAAATTCTGAAAACATTTAATTGGTCATTTATAGCCTGGTGCAGTAAACAAAGGCTTTCTACAGAGGTAACCATTCTTTTTGTTCAAGTTGGGAGACATTTGGTTTTTTTTTAGTGAGAAGGCCAATCATTATACAGCGGCAAGGATAGAAGCATTATGGTGTTGTTGTTTTTTTTAACAACAGAAAAATGTTTAATATTTTCTTCACATGGCTTTAGGAAAATATACTATTTAGTGTAAATGAAGTAAAAGAATGAAACAAGGACAAATACTTAAAACATTTTTGTGCATAAAAATAGCTTTATTTCCAATAGGTCAAAACTGTAGACAGAAGCCAATGAGTCATTGGTTTCTTTACTCCACTGTTGATTCACATGTGATGTTTGTGACATTAAGCAGCAGAAAGTATGTTATATCCTCTATGCTTGCTGTCCAGACCTGGGGCTGACTACCAGCTGTTTGCTGAGTAAATGGTTAAAACCAAAAATAAACAGATTAACTTGAGCAAATGCCCAGCATGAGTTAGTGTTTACTTTGAGGATGGGTCACTTCCAGTCGTGTGTCCCTGTATCTACTGAAAACAAATCAATTTCTTCACTGATGTTAGGTCCACAGTTCACACAGGATTTGTTCTCTACTTTTCCCCGGAAACCCATTTTCAGTGATTCTGACCAAAATCACTGATGTCTGAAATCAATAAGGCTCATCTTGAACATTCTTGATTACACATAGACTTTTATCTAGCATCTTCAAATCTCCATCCTGACGTATCCAGACCTGGTCTGCTACAGACGACATGACACATCAGCACAACATCCCCTGAACATTCACATCAACGCCAACTGCATTAGCAATCCTTCTACAAACAAAAAAAAAAAAAAAAAACATAAATACAAAAGCAAAAACAAAATAGGTCTAAAAGGATAATAGAAACTCTTACAATAAAAAGTTTCAAAACTACCTGCTTTTGAAAATCTCAAACTAGTGTGTATAAAACTTTGAAAAAAAAAAAAAAAAATCACATATACAATTGCTTAAAAAGGGGGAAAACACCCCAACCTGAAAGAAGGCAATAAAATAATTTGACAGTTAAATTAATATAAAAAAGATCTACTCAGAGGAGCAATAAAACAATGGAGAACAATGAGAGGAGGCGAGTTAGTATTAGAAAAAAAAATTACAGTAAATCACAGAAATGATACCATTTTGGGACCAGAGAGGGGAAGGAGAAAAAAAAAAAAAAGCATTTTGGCATTTAAATATTTGGTAATTATTCTGGTTGCCAGGGTGTGGCTAAGTACCAAGTTTCTTTTTTTTTTTTCATAGTTTTTATTTTTATCTTGCAATGACTATGTATAGACTAGTCTGTGTGCTGAGGGCTTCAGAAATATTAACATAGTTAATTCTGCTGCTGAGGCTTCAACGGCTGCTTGTCAAATCTATGAGTGAAATAAAGATTTAACTAAATCACAATATGTCAGAGTAGCTTATTGTAAAAAAATCAAATATGCAAGTTAAAAAAAAACTTAGCAGAATAAACAAAGAAGATAAAATGAGATTAAATGAGTAGAACATCTGCAGAACTCAACCACTCCGAGTTAGTTCTAAAATGTTTTTTTCCCCCACAGCAGAAAATAGTACCAAGAAGTAGTCACTGTACCCATAGCACTGCCAGGAACTAAATAACAGTTCTGGGATTTTAAAGTCCCTGCTTGAGAGGTAGGACTATTGGGGATAAGAGCACAGAAACCATCAGGGTAGAGTTTGCAGCACCAACCATCCTGGCTTGGTTCAGGTACTGGCTGCTCTTTGAACTAGTGACTCTAAAGTCCAGGCACTTGTTCAATTATTTATGAGGAAGACCTGAAGATGGTTGACAGCAAAAAACAAACAAAAACAAACAAATAAAAATCCTTAGAAATTGTTTCAAGAAAATGTTCTTGCTGCAGACATTGGTTTAAATATTACTAATGGCATAAGGCTATGACTGATCACATGGCTGTGCACCGGTCACATGGCTGTGCTACCGGTCGTTCCACTGAACCTACTCTGCCTAGAGGCAGCAACATCTCAATCTGCCAAGAAGCCTTAAATAAAAGAAAAGGCTTTGATTGTTCTAGAAAACCGAAATGTCTCAGGACAGAATGTCCAATGATTCCCCAGTTGTTAGAATTTTGAAAGAAACAAAACTCATCATTTTCCATTGTGACTTCAACACCTGACTGAGCCAAGTTTGGAATGTAGGTGTGTCACCCTGTAGGAGCTCCACTTCACTGTAATAACAGAAAACAAACCCTGGAGGCACAAAGGTAATTATTGTAGTAGTAAAAAGTCTTTCTTTTGAAGCGTTGTCAGCAGAAGAAGGCCGTGTGTGTGTGTGAGTGAGATCTGGGTCATGCAGTATTTGCAGATGTTTTTAGTTTAGCTCGATTATCTGGTGCTACGTGCCAGACCGACGGGACTTTCCCCTGGAGGAGAATCAACACGCCCTGGAGTTGAACATGTTTTAATGAAACTGAGGAATTTTAAGGTTGGCATTTTTTAACTTGTTGGGTAAAATGTCTTGCAATACGGCGTGTGAACAAATCACTTCTCAGATTATTCAATGACTGTTGACAGCAGCTACAAACGGATGTTAGAAACTTTTAGCTCATTTTTTTCCTTTATCTTTAATTGGAAAAAAAAACCCCTGAAAATCTTAAATCTCTGAGTTACAATGAGTTTGTTAAAACAAAAACTTTAAAATTATTTTCTCCAGTCCAACAAAGAGGTTGAGAAACAGGAGGAGAGAGAGAAGGAAAATAAATAACTGGACTGTTACTGTGTACCATTCTGAGACAAAATAAATCATTGCACCGTGTTAGTGTTTTTATCACTGCGGGAGGAAGAACAAAGAGGTAAAAGACATGAACTTCTCAGTGTTCTTGATTTTTTTTTCTCTTGGGGACAAAAACAAATAAACACAGCGACAGTGTTTCGCCGCTCCACTCCTGTTGCTCCTTTACTTTCTTTGATTAAAAAGAAGACCAACAAAGCATCTGTTTGGCTAAGAAAGCACCAACCAGGTGGTAATAGTCCATGGGTTATCTGTTAACAGGCTTCTCTCTAGGTAACTGGGTGTCACTCCACTGTCCAGTCAGAAGATGAGTGAGGAGGACGAGGAGGAAGGAAGGGGGGGAGGGGTGATGAGTCCCTGTGAGGTCAGGAACTTGCCCTGATTGGTTCAGGAAGTCAGGAGGTGGGTTTGTGTTTGCAGGTGAAGAGAAGGTGGGGCAGAAAACTGGCGAAGTCTATGCATAGATCTCTGTGGTTGGCGCCTTCTTGTAGATGGGCTTCTTGCCCAGGTCGTAACTGCCCTCATCCTTCTTCTTCATGCGGTAGATGAGGAGCAGGATGAGGAGGACAGCGAACATCAGGCCGACGGCACAGCCAGCGATCAGAGCTGAGGAGGATAGCAGAACAGAGTGCAACAAATAAGTTGTCTGTCTGCAGACCTGTGTTCATCTGTAGCTGTAGAAACCCTTTCAGATGTTTCAACATAAAAATGACAATGTGACAACGTTTTTTTTTTTATTTGACTTTACTTATTGGCTATGTGATTTGTCTTTCTTTTAAAAAATAAAAAAATTCTATGGAAAGACACTGACCTGCGAGGACCTCTGTTTTATTAAAGATGCTGTCATCACTGGCGTGCGCCATCAGGACATTGGCGGGAAACTCCTCGCTGCTCTCCTTCCTCAGCAGAGGGATTTCGTTGCTATTTTGGACAATTTCTATCTCGTTGACAGTTGGTCGTGTCGGAAGTCGCACCTCCGGGATCTTATTGTCAATGATGTCGGGCTGAGGATTAAAAAGTGTGATGAGTCAATACACTGATGTGTGAATAATTAAATCACCTAAATCAACAACTATATTTAGGCTAAATGAGGCCAAACCATTAGCACAGGATTTTGAGGATGAATAAATTCAAAATCCTTTAGTGAAGTACTGCTAGTAACCAGTACTAGAAATTATAAGCATCCTTAGCACAGAATTCAAGAACTATAAAAGGCCTGGAGACTGTCTGGTGGCCTTGGAGTTTGACTCCACCATATAAGAACTTGTTGGCTGCCAGTACAAAACATTCCATTTCTCAGAAGAGATACCAAAATGTCTGGGTCATTTTTTTTTACCATTTTGAGGCATTAGAGGAATTATCTTGCTCCTTAACATTTTTCATTACTCTAAGAATTCCTCTTATATAAAATAATAAATCTTTATTCAAATACTGCATTCTTATTCTTACCTGCATTGGTGGCGGAGATGGTCGTTTAGGGACTTCAATTGTCTCTGTGAAAAAAAAAAATTACAATTAAAATAAATAAATAAAATAAGTGTAGAATTCAAACTGCACTGGATATACTTCAGACACCAACCTCCTTCTCCAGACCCAGAAAACTCTTCATATTCGTCTTCATCGTAGTAGTCATCCTCATCATCATCTTCATCATCAACGTCATCGTACCTTTCATCAATAAAGTCAAAGTCACCTGAAGACTCCAGACGAACGTGGTGTTCATCCATAGCGACCGCCTGTGTGGTCTTCATGGGCATCCATGTCTCCGTCTCGCGGACCTGCTGGGACAACAAAGGCAAAGCAGTGGTCAGAACTGATGAGCCCGGCAAAGTTTACAACTATAACCATGAGCAATAATGATTGATAACCAGTTTTGTTTGAGGATTCATTGACCCCAACCCAACTCTATTTCTTCTGTGCTTTTTACAGTGATCTTTCACCAAGTTGAATCTTCCATGTGATTTTAAACTTGTGTTCCCATTCTGCTGCCCGGCAGCTTTATTTTCAGTCTTTGTTAAACATGTACACTGTTTTAAAGAAGTTGTTACATGCATAATAGCACTTCTTGGAAAAGCTCCCTGTGGGGTTTAAAGGGCGGTCGTCTGTGACTCTAAACACTGTAGATTGTAACACAATGAAAACACTTCAGCCACCTTTAATAATAACAGTACAGTTAATTTGATTGCCCATTTGCAAAGTCAGCAATGTGAATAGTATTTCCAACACACACACCCCTCCTCCACACCCCACCAGCTTATTACAAACAAACAATTCATCAGCATTTAAAGCCCAAACAGAAGAGTGGCCAAGAACAAGAGAAAGGCTCAAGTCTCAAAGTCATTGGTCAATACCTTTATTTACACTTCAATGATGAGATTACCATTTGGTTTTCCAGCAAAGAATGGATGGAACTTCAACTCAAAGGTTAAATAAAGCATTTCACATCACAGCTATAAAAAAACAAACAAAACCATTTAAATCTATTCCACTGTTTCTTGATGGTAATAAAGATTTAAAGCAGTGAGACCAACAACAGCAATGAGACCAGCAACAGCAATGAGACCAGCAACTTTGTTTTCTTTCCCCTTCACATGAATTAAACCTTTATTTACTGAGAAAAATCACTGACCACAAGTGGAACATAGCACACGCCCGGATGTCCCACAGCAACGCACACACATAGGCACAGTCACTAATTTGTGTTGATGTCATAAATGCTTCCAATTACTTCCATGTGAGTCTTCCTAGTGACTTCCTAACTTAATGTTATAACTCACACTAAGTTGTAATTATAGCAGAAAAAAACAACCAAACATCCATTCTACGACTTCGGTACATTTCAGACTTATGTTGAAAGTTGACTACTTCTAATTTATTTTACACTTTGAAGTCCTATGATGCAAAACTGATTGAGATCATATTTCAATCTGCCCACCCAAAACCGGTTCAGTTTGTTCCAGATTGCAGGACTGCGACAAGGACGGATTCACAGCCTGGGGGTTGAGCCTCACATCAGCACTTATTAAAAAAGCTGCAGGCTGATGTGAGCTGCTGCGTCTTTGTTGTACAAACAGGTCAGAAATGTGCAGCGCCTGACCAGCCTGGCTGGACTGTGTGGATGTGTAACCCAACTATTACATAACCGAGCAAATATGAAAATCAGTGCTGCTTGGGGACCTTTATATTGACTTAACTCAGGATTAGTTCAATGCCCATTCAGTGAAGAAGGAAAAGAAAGAAAAAACAGAGTTGAGTGGAAAAAAAGGTGAAAGAACATTTTGCAGACAAAACTACCGACAAAACCTGATAATTAAATGTATACATGAACAACTGGAAGGTGCTAGCAGCAATTAAGGGTAAAGTTTTAACTAATTTCTCTTAAAAAAATCTATTCTATTTAAAAACCTCAGAATAGAAGTTGCCTCAAACTATACTGGGACATCCTAAATATATCCCAGAGGAAATTGGTTTATTCAATGCGACCCCTTAAGCTATTCTTAAACATTTGTAGACATATTCAGGAGTCTTAAGTTACTACCATTTAGCTAGCCCATATCCTTCTCTGAGCTACTTTACTACCACTTACTGCAATGTTAACAGTTACGCTCTTTTATCCTCACCGTAAAAACAATAAGGGGACGACTAGGACTCTGTTTAAGGAAGTCTTTTTCAAGTTTATAGATTGCAACATTCCAGCAAAATTCACAGAGGGCAGTGTGGTCAATCATTAAAGAGACAACCACTGAACAGGAAAGGAATTTCAGCAACAAAACAATGTGTCAAAGCAAGACAATGCAGACACAAAAACTCCTGATGATACCCACTAGTGAACGTTTTCACACAGCTCCACCCATAATCCTGCCAATCCCTTTGATTTTCAAGACTTGTGAATGCTTTGACCTGGACTTCCTCTCACAACGTTTGTTACACGTGATCCACAAAGTAATTTTTATGTCTTTAAAGTGATTTTAAAACTTCAAGGCTGATGTCACTTTCATGCGTTAGATAGAAAGGCAGGGTGGCATAAAGAAAAACCACAAAGCATCAGAGATCCTGGAACACCAATCAGTCTGAGGGCACATTAAAATACCTTTGTGTACAGTAAACACACAGGAAGACGTGGCTGCAGCTAATGCTTACCATCCCCTCAAGCTGAAACACAAAGTGACCCACACCCTTCGCTTCAGGGTGGTGAACCACAATGTTTGTCAGCCATTCTGAGAGCTACTTAAGACCCAAACACCATTTTGTCCTCGTGTTTCTGCCCAGTGTGGCGGATGTGGGCCGAAGCCAAACAGATGGAGTTAATGGAGAAATCGAGCGAAACCAAGAATCACAGTGAAGCAACGCTGTAAAATATGTTACTTGGTATTACAACACAGCATGGTCTGATTGCAAAATGGGACCAAACACTACATTGCTTACTTGAATATCAGACAAAGAATCCAAGCTGACCTTTTCACCAGAAGCCCACGGTTGACCACACAGGTGCAGGCCAAACAAAGCTTCTCTTTGTGCAATGAAATCTCTTTTAATTGTGGAGCCCATTACACCATGTGGTGTCTGCAGAGGAGCCATGTGACTTACACATCATCCCATCTGACCATACAACCAGTTTGCACTCCAGAAACTTTGCAATTAACACAATGAAAAAACACTGCACTACATGTAAGTTAATAAAATACACGATCCTTCAATAATAGGCCACCATTCAACATTATCTGATAAGCACAACTCTAAAGCAATCAAATAATTTCACACATTAATAAAAAAAAAAAAGCATTTTTCTGCCTTATAACTTGACATCAGATTCAGAAAATCCAGCTGTGAACATAATAAAAAGGGGTCATTTCCTGTTCCATTACTCTTCACCCTGGTCCGCTCACATGCTCTTGTCTTCCTGTCCATCTCTGCATGGAGGTCCCAAACTTGCAAACTCCTCAATTGTCAAGTTGCTGAAAGGTTGTCTGTCAAGACACCCGCCACACAGCCTTCAGCTCTGTTCCTTCTTTTGACAGCAAACAAAGCCAGTGGAGGCCTCAAAAGCATATCAATGACCAAGGTAACCGGGGGATAAGCCTCTGGCAGCCTTTCTTCATTAAACCAGGGAAACAATTCTTCCATCTGCCGACACAGACAGAGGCATCTGGTCTTTTCACGCAGTCGCGTGGAGGAGGAGCAAAGTTATGAAAAGGCAAAAAGCAAAAGCAAAGCTACACCTGTTCCCATTTATCTTTGTCATATCAAATATCCCCTGATCATGCAAAATACCAAATCTTTGGCATATTGTTTTAAAAAATATATATATTTTCTTGGAGCTACTTGGAGTGGAAATATCTGAGTTAATTTTTTAGTTTTTCTCTTGATGCAACAAGTTTTTCCAACACCTTCCCACCCCCTGCGTAGTGATATCTGAGCCAGTGGGCTTTACACATTGTATTGTGTTGCCTGATCTGCTTCTAAGATGGATTCTTGAACTCTGCCAGAGATCACATCCAACCAAGAAGCTCACCAGCTTTGGTATTTTTTGGAAATCATACAACTGATCCACCATAAACAACTTTGATCCTTCAATCTATTTTCAACTAATTTTAACACACTATCACCTTTGCCTCTCACTCCAACAGTCAAGCGTTAGATTCCTTTTACCAATGCTTGCTCTATCTATAGCAGCCTTTTCCAGCACTATGTTAAACCAGAAGTCACAGTAGATTCAAATATATATATATATATATGTATATATATATATATCTGCACCTTGTTGGTTCAGAATAACAAACTGTACCAAAATCTACAGCTAGAGGTTGAATTTAGTCATGGTGGTTTACTGTGGTTATACCATTAGAGGTTGATATGCTTAGTGATGTGATAGGGAACACTGAAATACAAGGTCCGAGGTCATTTAAAAAGTAGCGCGATCAGCAGAGAGCAATACTGCACTTTTTCAATGCTGCAGACCCACCCACCTAGTGGGATCACAGTGATATGATATATTGCCTTGTACTTTGTTTAAATATTAAAAAAGGTTTTGTTAAGTTTTAACAAACCTAAAGTGTTACTGCATGTAATGATTTCTACTGATGTTTTTCTTAAAGTAAAAACAGCTGACTTCTAAACAGATCATAATGATTAGATTTTCTCAATCTCAAATACAAGCAGTCAGAAAAATATCCATTGCTTCAGCCCTAACTTCATTCTTTGACTGTTCATTTCCTGAGCATGTGAGATAAGATGCAGCAGTGGTGCAGTAGACAGTGCCTGTAGGTCTCCAGCGATAAGACTAATTGGGTTTTGATGCGCACAACCCGAGGGCATGTTCATGGCCCCAGAATATTGGCCTTTATTGGTCACAGTAACTCTTTCACTAACAACATTTTAACCCACATCTTCAGGATGTTGTATTTCATCCTGACAATATCATATCCAAGAAGGAAAATAATATGATACCCTGAGGCCACACAGACTGATATATAAACCAAGACTTGTTAATGCCCTTTGTTCTTAACCATCTTCAGATACTTTCATGTCAGTCCCAAGGCAAATGTATCGTTGCCCTGCATCAAGGCAACCACACCCCAACAAACTAAGGTCAGCTTCAAATGAATTATCTCTGCTCTGAAAACAACAGTAGCCAGGAAATAATGAAAAAAGGAGGGGAAACAGGAAATATTTCTACAAGACAAATTGGCCTGTGTTTAAAAATTGAGCATAAATAAGAACCACTTTACCACAATTTAGTCACAGCTGAATTATGGAGATTTGAAAGAGCCTCAGTTGCTGA